TCTGTAGTTTGTTGGAAATCCCTTTCGTAACGCGCCAAGTCTCTGAACCATACAGGAGCACTGACTTGACTGATGTTGGTGTTGAAAATCCGAATCTTGTTCCACATGCTGAGTGCTGAAGATCTCCACACTGGCTTAAGGCTAATGAACGCCTGTCTTACTGTGTTTCCGATCTTGGCTTCAATGTCCTCGTCTGTGCCACCGCTGCCTGTAGTTGAAACAGTGCTTCCTAGATAGGTGAAGGAGGCTACTTCCTTTAGGTTTATCCCGTTGATGGTGATTGGAGCTTCTTGTTGTTGTTGGTGGTGGTGTTGGTTGGGTATCTTCAACACCTCTGTCTTCGCTACATTCGCTTGAAGTGCCGTCTTCGCTGCCTCACCTCTTCTGCCAACTTGTTAGTTTTCTCCTGTACATCTTCAAGTTTGTGTGACATTAGATACAAGTCATTGGGGAAATCCGAATCTTCTAGGATCTTTTCCCCGGTCCAGCCAGCGTATGCCTCTCTTCTCGCTCTTCACTGTTTGTTGCATGATCCAGTCGACTACAATCAGGAATATCATGGGTGATAGTAGTCAGTCTTGTCTTACTCCCTCCTGTCTTTGCTTCAAAAGCATCACTGAGCTTCCTATTGTGAACTACTTGACATGTGGCGTCTTCATATAGTTGTTGAATGAGGCTGATAAAGGTTTGTGGTATTCCGTAATATTGAAGCAGTTTCCAAATTACCTCTCGGTCGATGCTGTCAAAGGCCCTCTCAAAGTTGATAAACTTGAGGTAGAGAGTTGACTGTCATTATATACTCTGTTCTATGATGATGCGTAGTGTCGCGTTGCAATTTGGTCTGCACATGATTTGTACTTCCTGAATCCAGCCTGTTCGAGTCGTAGTTTTGAATCCAGTGCATCCTTTAGTCTCTCCAGGATGATGCTGCCTAATATTTTGCTTGTTTTGGGTGGACAGGAGCGAGATTCCGCGCCAGTTCGTGCAAACACTGAGGTCTCCCTTCTTCGGGAGTTTCACAAGGTAACCCTTCTTCCAATCGCCAGGTACCTTTACTTCCTTCCAAACCTTCTGCAATAGTGGTGTGAGCATGTCCACTGTTGTCTCTGCATCCGTTCTCAGTGCTTTTGGCGGGATTCCATCTGGTCCTGCTGCTTTCCCGGATTTCAGTAGCTTTATGGCGTTCAGGACTTCCACTTTTGTTGGAGGATTTATGTTCACTTGTAGTTCTGTGGCTGCAGGTGGTATTTCTGGACGAAGTGCAGGTGGTGGTGGTGGTGGTCGATTCAAGAGCTTCTTGAAGTGGTCGGCCCATCGTTTCCTTTGTTTCTCTTCTTTCGTAATTAAATTTCCGTCATCATCTTCTATTGGTTTCATCTGTGTTGATCTATTACCAGACAGTAACCTGGTTATTTGATACAATGTTGTCACGTTTTTTTCTCTCCTACCTGCAGCCTGTTCTGCTTCACTTGTCGTCTTTGCGTGCACTCTTCTTCACTTCTTTCTCCAGTGTAGTGTTTTATACATTGTGCTCAGTTCCTCTTGTCGTTGTGCATCCTTGCACTGGTTTATCTTCTACTTCACCATCCTCCTCTCACTCCTCTATCAGCTTCCATGTGTCCATCGAGATCCATTCCTTATCTTCCTTCTTCTTCCTTCCTAAAACGGTTATGCAGATTTCTTTCCACATCTCTTTCAAAGACTTCCAGTGTTCTTCCACACAGGTCTCTTCAGGGATGTTCCTCGATATCTCCCATTTTGTCTTGATGGCTGGCTGCCATGAAGATGTCCTTTGTAGTTTCATCCTTCAGTTTCCTAGTGTTGTGCCTGAACTGTGGTCTATCACCAACTTCCTTGGAGGCTTTCAACTTGATTTGGAAGGTAAGTTCCTTGCACTAGACAGTGAGTGGTCTGAGCCTACATCTGCTCCTCTTCCTGCTTGACCTTGTGTTAAGTAGGCTGAGTCTCCATCTCCACTTTCTCCACATTGAGATGAAGTCGATCTGATTTTTAGTGTGGTGTGTCCTGGTGTCTGGTGAAATCCATGTTGGTCGCTTTGTGGATATCCTCGTGCTTGAACACACTGCCTCACTGCAATCACCAAATCGTTGAATGCACAGAATTCTGCAAACAATTCTCCATTTTCGTTCATCACCTCACCGAGCGCTTCTCCACCCATGGTTTAGTTCTCTTCCTGTGTTGTCCCCTCCCAGTTTGGCATTCATGTCGCCGCACCCATTAGAATTTTGATGTCGCCATCTGATGTGCATGTCCAGTGCTGATTGCAGTTGTATGTAAAATTCCTCCTTCTTCTTTTCATCTGCATTATTTGTAGGTGCCTAGTGTAGCACTGTATGATTGTGACCTTCCTTCCTTCTTTTGAGTTGAACCTTGCTGTCATGATGGTGGAGGACATTGGTTCCCACTGCATGAGGGAAGTCTTCGATGCTGTTGGGGACATCATGATAGCCACTCGGAAACTCAGTGTGCTCGTGGTTGTCGTCTGGGTGACAATGTAGGAGTAGATTATTGGTTCTCCAGTTGACAGTTTGGAGAGTCCACTTCCATTCCATCTGCTTTCGCGAATTCCAAGCACTTCAATGCGATACCTCCTCATCTCGTTTGCAATCTGGGCTGCCTTGCTGGGTCCAAACATGGTGCGGACATTCCATGTCCCCACGTTTACTTTCGCTTTCATCGAGGGAGAGAAGACACATCGGCGAATTGGCTCCCCAAAGGCTTTCACCAACTGGCGTCATTTCGCCTCTCCGATTCCAGCGAGAAATAATATTATTTTGTTTGTGCTTTGAAGTTTGTTTAGCGTTTGTATTGGTTTAATGGGGTATGGTTGTTAGTCCTATGTTCAACCTTCCCTCTTTACCCGGGTTTAGGACCATCTAGTAACTAGTGAACTAGTTAACCATGCCAGGTAATACAACCGATGTAATTTGCTCCAATGGAGCAGGTGAAATGGTACATGCATATGGATTTGACCTGTCATAGGATATTGTCTTTTATCGAAACAGAGAACAATTTACGGCTAGTAGAGGTGAAATGAAATTTGACTGCGTTTATGATTTTTGGATGCAGAAGGACCTAGGTATGCCTACGTCTGCGTTTTTATGCTTACTTCATATTTGATTTTTAAATCCGAGATTAAAATCTTTATTTCCATATGTCATACATTAGTCAAGTGTGTTGAGGGCTTTAACTAAACTAGTTAATGGCATCATTTGTGGTGAAAAAAATCTTGGCGAATTCTTCACGTTCGACTGACATGTACCAAAGTAAACTATATACTGTGCTTCCGAGAGATCAGTGTGGTCACGAGAAGTTGGATATACAACGTTGCAGTATTTACTTTCTTTTTAATGGTTGTGAGATTCAAGGTATGATGGTAGAGGATACCTCATTCACTGGTTGTATTAATATCTTTGAAGTATCATTCGCATGTGATGTAGACAGCGAGTGAGGGGTAGTCATGGGGGTTAGGTCTAAGGTTTTTGGCTCGAAGGGTTGATCAGTAAGTGGAGTGTATACGCATCCAGTAAGTAATTAGGGTGTCTTGCGCATTTTAAACTACTGTCTACCTCCTATGATTGTAGTTAAATCGTGAACAAAGTGAAAAACGTTTGAAGGTAATCAGATCAGTTCATGACACCCGTTCAAAAGCTTGTCAGGGGCAGGTTTGAATCATATTAGAAAATATAGGTTTTTTGTAGTTCTTGAAGAACTGGAAAAGTGTGCTTCATGACGCTAGTTTGAATATAATCATATTCTAAACAACCGTTTTTCTTTGCCTGTCTTCGTATGCTCACTTACTTCCCATGTAATCATTATATCGTATTAATTCTTGTTTGTATTGTCTTTGTTGTGATTAGAATGCACGTGAATGAAATCAGTACAGTTTTTTGGGCATCTACATTGTTTCAGTTATATGAGTCGAATACCCCTACATTTGCTTACCGTTTATATCATCCTATTATTTCACCAATGTATTCATTCCGCATAAAACCAAAATTCTCGTAAAATGCTTGAAAATTAAGGCTCCAGGTGTCGAGGTGATGTGCCTTCATATTTATTTGTATACAAGGGTTGTCAAGCGATGATCATTGGAGTGTATGATGTTCGGTAAATATTTTTAGTTCAGGAACTAGAAGTAACACAGATAGAATATAATGTTTATCATAAGCAATAGATTCCTACTCTCTCATCCTCTGTCATAATAAATTTAAAGATATGGAGGGAGATATAAAGGGGATCATAAATACACTGTTTTTGTTGTACTTAATCTAGTATCCTGTTCACTGCCTAGTACGTATTTTTGGTTATCAAATCTATTATATTCCCTCAGTAATGTACAACCATTCTCGCGCAAGACTACTTGGGCTATTTTGGATTTAACTTTTGAAATGATATATATATATATATATATATATATATATATATATATATATATATATATATATATATCCCTAATCCAAGGAAACTAGTGCTTGCTGAAAGGTTCAAATCCAGGTAAATTGACCCTATATTCAAAGACATTACCACAACTATTCAAACCTTTTTGGCTACCCTATGTTACCCATGTGAACAGTTTGTAGAACAGTAGTGCATATAGCATTTTCGAGTCTTCTGTTTGAAAAGATGAATGTTTTATGCAACTTCTACCTGTGATGTGCTCATTTCATACCTTTTATTTTGCATTTCTAGTTATCCGACTCTACAATCACTTATCGTTCAATCCACCATGCTTTGCTGTCTGGTGTTGTGAAGCAATGTTATTTCCCAAAACTTACAATGAAAATCCCGTTGAACATAACACCATTAATGTTGTTTCATCTAGTGGTTTGCAAAAACATTTAGGCGTTTTAATCAAAGTGGGTGATAGTTTATTTTCAGCTCTGGATGATTCATCTCGGTATAAACGATATCTTAGTAACTATCTGAAAGAGGCAAAACGTGTAGTGAGTTTCTAATTGTTTCATCACATTAAATTTGTTTTCTTATATGCCGGGAAGTGCTTACTATATAGCTCGAGGTCCATGCATTTCCTTTGATGCTACTGAAGGACGTCACACGAAATTAACAAGCAACAGCACGGAACAGTATCGAGTTATTGTCGTCAGAGTTAAGAATGTTAATGTCGTCGTGTTATTTGGTAGTTTTTGGATTCACTTATGTGATAAAGTGTTTTAAATACTATCCTACCCATTTCTTCCAGATCTGTGGTTCATTACTCTGGGCACTCGATATTTAAGCTGTTAGTCATGGGTACCACTCCATGTCACCAACCGAAGTTTCGCCAACCAGCGACGTGGTATCGTTAACCCACGCATAATAAGTGTGGCCCATCAACTGAAGCACGATGTTGAGAATAATAAGGCTGCTTCCAACGAGAAACAGGTTAAACAGTTATTAAATCAGGACAATGGCACTCTTGTTAAAATAGCCTTGAATCATCTTCAGTCTGCTACAAAAACAGCGTTAAAGACTGTATATGAGACTCAGAGAAGTTTAAGAAAGAATTGTAGATCCTAACAGTTCTTCTGAATCAATAAATGCAAGTAAATACATTCGTACAGACTTCGAGCACAATGAAGAGTGGAAGTAACCCAAATATAGGCTAAAAAAGAATATACATAATGACCATTCCTCACTGGGATCGGAGAGGCGAAATGACGCCAGTTGGTGAAAGCCTTTGGGGAGCCAATTCGCCGATGTGTCTTCTCTCCCTCGATGAAAGCGAAAGTAAACGTGGGGACATGGAATGTCCGCACCATGTTTGGACCCAGCAAGGCAGCCCAGATTGCAAACGAGATGAGGAGGTATCGCATTGAAGTGCTTGGAATTCGCGAAAGCAGATGGAATGGAAGTGGACTCTCCAAACTGTCAACTGGAGAACCAATAATCTACTCCTACATTGTCACCCAGACGACAACCACGAGCACAGCACACTGAGTTTCCGAGTGGCTATCATGATGTCCCCAACAGCATCGAAGACTCTCCCTCATGCAGTGGGAACCAATGTCCTCCACCATCATGACAGCAAGGTTCAACTCAAAAGGAAGGAAGGAAGGAAGGAAGGTCACAATCATACAATGCTACACTATTATTATTATTAGTCCCTTGGGTTCCTAGTGGAACATAGGGCTTCAGTAGCACGCCTCCAGTGACCTCTGTTCTCTGAGATCTTTTGAACCTGGTCCCACGACAGCCCACAACCTCTCATTTCCTCCTCGCACGACCTCCTCCATGTCACCCTCTGGACGTCCAACTCGTCGCTTCCCATGGGGATTCCACTCGAGTAACTGGCCTGACGCGTGATGTCCTCAGTTGGCCTTCTCAGTCCATGGCCAATCCATCTCCACTTCTTCCTGCATATTTGTTGCGTCATAGGTTCTTGGTTGCTTCGTTCCTAGAGCTCCTTGTTGCTTATTCTTTCTGGCCATCTGATCTCCAGTAGCGAGCCAGCTGAGGCAGTTGTTGATGAATGTCTGTAGTTTATTGGAAATGCCTTTCGTGACGCGCCAAGTCTCTGAACCATACAGGAGCACTGACTTGACTGATGTTGGTGTTGAAAATCCGTATCTTGTTCCACATGCTGAGTGCAGAAGATCTCCACACTGGTTTAAGGCTAATGAAGGCCTGTCTTGCTTTTCCGATTCTGACTTTGACGTCCTCGTCCGTCCCGCCTGTAGTTGAAACAGTGCTTCCTAGATAAGTGAAGGAGGTTACTTCCTTTAAGTTTCTCCCGTTGATGGTGATTGGAGCTTCTTGTTGTTGTTGATGGTGGTGGTGCGGTATCTTCATCACTTCTGTCTTCTCTATATTCACCTGAAGTCCCGTCTTAGCTGCCTCACCTCTTCTGCCAACTTGTTAGTTTTCGCCTGCAGATCTTCAAGTTTGTGTGACATTAGATACAAGTCATTGGGGAAATCCGAATCTTCTAGGTCCCCTTCCTCAATCCAGTGTATCCCCCTCTTCTCGCTGCCTACTGTTTGCTGCATGATCCAGTCCACCACAATAAGGAATATCATGGGGGATAGTAGGCAACCTTGTTTCACTCCTGTCTTCACTTCAAAAGTATCACTGAGCTTCCCATTGTGAATTACTTGTCATGTGGCGTCTTCATATAGTTGTTGAATGAGGCTGATAAAGGTTTGTGGTATTCCGTAGTATTGAAGCAGTTTCCAAATTACCTCTCGGTCGATGCTGTCAAAGGCCCTCTCAAAGTTGATAAACTTGAGGTAGAGAGTTGACTGTCATTATATACTCTGTTCTATGATGATGCGTAGTGTCGCGTTGCAATTTGGTCTGCACATGATTTGTACTTCCTGAATCCAGCCAGCCTGTTCGAGTCGTAGTTTTGAATCCAGTGCATCCTTTAGTCTCTCCAGGATGATGCTGCCTAATATTTTGCTTGGGGTGGACAGGAGCGAGATTCCGCGCCAGTTCGTGCAAACACTGAGGTCTCCCTTCTTCGGGAGTTTCACAAGGTAACCCTTCTTCCAATCACTAGCCAGGTACCTTTACTTCCTTCCTTAAACCTTCTGCAATAGTGGTGTGAGCATGTCCACTGTTGTCTCTGCATCCGTTCTCAGTGCTTTTGGCGGGATTCCATCTGGTCCTGCTGCTTTCCCGGATTTCAGTAGCTTTATGGCGTTCAGGACTTCCACTTTTGTTGGAGGATTTATGTTCACTTGTAGTTCTGTGACTGGGCTGCAGGTGGTATTTCTGGACGAAGTGCAGGTGGTGGTGGTGGTGGTCGATTCAAGAGCTTCTTGAAGTGGTCGGCCCATCGTTTCCTTTGTTTCTCTTCTTTCGTAATTAAATTTCCGTCATCATCTTCTATTGGTTTCATCTGTGTTGATCTATTACCAGACAGTAAGTACCTGGTTATTTGATACAATGTTGTCACGTCTCTCCTACCTGCAGCCTGTTCTGCTTCACTTGCCAGTGTTTCGTAGAAGTATCTTTCGTCTTTGCGTGCACTCTTCTTCACTTCTTTCTCCAGTGTAGTGTTTTATACATTGTGCTCAGTTCCTCTTGTCGTTGTGCATCCTTGCACTGGTTTATCTTCTACTTCACCATCCTCCTCTCACTCCTCTATCAGCTTCCATGTGTCCATCGAGATCCATTCCTTATCTTCCTTCTTCTTCCTTCCTAAAACGGTTATGCAGATTTCTTTCCACATCTCTTTCAAAGACTTCCAGTGTTCTTCCACACAGGTCTCTTCAGGGATGTTCCTCGATATCTCCCATTTTGTCTTGATGGCTGGCTGCCATGAAGATGTCCTTTGTAGTTTCATCCTTCAGTTTCCTAGTGTTGTGCCTGAACTGTGGTCTATCACCAACTTCCTTGGAGGCTTTCAACTTGATTTGGAAGGTAAGTTCCTTGCACTAGACAGTGAGTGGTCTGAGCCTACATCTGCTCCTCTTCCTGCTTGACCTTGTGTTAAGTAGGCTGAGTCTCCATCTCCACTTTCTCCACATTGAGATGAAGTCGATCTGATTTTTAGTGTGGTGTGTCCTGGTGTCTGGTGAAATCCATGTTGGTCGCTTTGTGGATATCCTCGTGCTTGAACACACTGCCTCACTGCAATCACCAAATCGTTGAATGCACAGAATTCTGCAAACAATTCTCCATTTTCGTTCATCACCTCACCGAGCGCTTCTCCACCCATGGTTAGTTCTCTTCCTGTGTTGTCCCCTCCCAGTTTGGCATTCATGTCGCCCATTAGAATTTTGATATCGCCAACTGACGTCTTGTCCAGTGTTGGTTGAAGTTGTCTGTAGAATTCCTCCTTTTTCTCTTGTTCTGCATTATTTGTAGGTGCATAACATTGTATGATTGTGACCTATCTTCCTTTTGAGTTGAACCTTGCTGTCATGATGGTGGAGGACATTGGTTCCCACTGCATGAGAGCCTTCGATGCTCTTGAGGACATCATGATAGCCACTCCCTCAGTGTGCTCGTGGTTGTCGTCTGGGTGACCGGAGTAGATTATTGATTCTCCAGTTAAATGCTACACTAGGCACCTACAAATAATGCAGATGAAAAGAAGAAGGAGGAATTTTACATACAACTGCAATCAGCACTGGACATGTCCACATCAGATGGCGACATCAAAATTCTAATGGGTGCGGCGACATGAATGCCAAACTGGGAGGGGACAACACAGGAAGAGAACTCATGATGGGTAGAGAAGCGCTCGGTGAGGTGATGAACGAAAATGGAGAATTGTTTGCAGAATTCTGTGCATTCAACGATTTGGTGATTGCAGTGAGGCAGTGTGTTCAAGCACGAGGATATCCACAAAGCGACCAACATGGATTTCACCAGACACCAGGACACACCACACTAAAAATCAGATCGACTTCATCTCAATGTGGAGAAAGTGGAGATGGAGACTCAGCCTACTTAACACAAGGTCAAGCAGGAAGAGGAGCAGATGTAGGCTCAGACCACTCACTGTCTAGTGCAAGGAACTTACCTTCCAAATCAAGTTGAAAGCCTCCAAGGAAGTTGGTGATAGACCACAGTTCAGGCACAACACTAGGAAACTGAAGGATGAAACTACAAAGGACATCTTCATGGCAGCCAGCCATCAAGACAAAATGGGAGATATCGAGGAACATCCCTGAAGAGACCTGTGTGGAAGAACACTGGAAGTCTTTGAAAGAGATGTGGAAAGAAATCTGCATAACCGTTTTAGGAAGGAAGAAGAAGGAAGATAAGGAATGGATCTCGATGGACACATGGAAGCTGATAGAGGAGTGAGAGGAGGATGGTGAAGTAGAAGATAAACCAGTGCAAGGATGCACAACGACAAGAGGAACTGAGCACAATGTATAAAACACTACACTGGAGAAAGAAGTGAAGAAGAGTGCACGCAAAGACGAAAGATACTTCTACGAAACACTGGCAAGTGAAGCAGAACAGGCTGCAGGTAGGAGAGACGTGA